GGAAACATCGGTAATGCAAAATATGTGCAGACTCCAAATGAATCGTGAGAGTTTTTACCAAGTGAGCAAATGTTGCTGAAAGTCGTCAGGCATACAAATATTTATATTGCATCTGTTTCTGACAGCTTTCAAAGAGAGAGAGATGATCGTCACACAACTCTAATTGAAATTAGCACTTTTATAGCTATTTTCTATTTTTGTGACATAAGTCATCTCATGTAAATGTGCGTGATCTATGGGTAACAGACGGAACTGGCTTGGAAATTTTCTACAAAACTATGTCCTATGAACATTTTCTTTTTTTTTAAATAAAATGTTTGTGTTTTGATGACATAGGAACTCACGTCGTCAAGAAAGAATCAGATAAACTTGCATCTATAAGAGAGTTTTTTTTTGAAGAGTTTGTGAATAACTACCAGAAATATTACACTGTCGGTGAGCTCATAACAATTGATGAAAAACTTGAAGCTTTCTGAGGAAGATGTTCTTTCAAGCAGTATATTCTTAATAAACCTGTATAATAATATAATGAATTCCTAATAAATTCTTAATTAATATAATATTTTTTTCTCTTCCTTTAAAAATCCTTATTTCATAAAAAATATTATAGGAATTAAAATTAAAATTTTAGTTTTCATAATTTGCGTATTTTTAAAGTTTGATTATAATATTTTGGTATAAATGTAACACTTTGACCTGAAGAGTAACGGGTTTTTCTTAGAAAAACACAAGCCAGGTCTTTTGGACCCAGGGCGCGTTCTCCCGGGTTGAAAGCTAATTGCAGAAATATTTCTGCAAGTTCTAATCTGGAGTAGCCAAAGTCTGTAGTAGCAAAAATCAGTTCACCGAAGTTTAACAAAATGCAGAAACATAAAAAAGAAACTGGTGATTCATGGTTTTGTATATTATGGGAAGAAACCAAGGAAGAAGAAATGATACAATGCATGAAATGTCACGCTTGGATACATACTCGGTGTTCTGGAGTTAGTGCTGCAATTAAAAAGTTCTTTTGTTGTAATTGCCATTAAGAAAGCTCATGGTCCAATTTAGGAAACTAGTGGTCCAAATAAGGAAACCGGTTTCCTAAATTGAACCGATGACACGTTTTTTTTAATTCATTTTTCACCATTATAAATAATTAAAAAAATTTAATAAATGGTTCTATTGTGAAGGTACACTAGTGAGTTTATTTTCTACTACTTAATTTTTATTGGCATTTCTTCCGTCCTTCTATATAGTGAAAAATACGAAATTGGTCCAAATTAGGGTACTCTCCCCTATTCCTTTTGTTGCGATTTAAGCATCAATAGTTTTTATAGACAAAATTTTTGCACTTAAACTCAGTTTAAAAATATATGCTTGTGTGTTTCATGTGCAATAGAATAATCTGTGCTAAAATTCCTGAAGGCAATGCTGTATTTTCCAACAATTTGGAAGGGGGAAGAAAAAAAAAACTGTGCTTAAATTAAGCTTTAAGTTAAACTATGCTTTCAATCTATTCCTAAAGCAATCACCAGAAAAATTCCAGCAGGTGAAAAAACGTTTGCTGGACTTGCTGGAAAGTAGATCTGTGGATTGATTTTTGTGATGCATGCTTAATAGAAACATAATATATATACAGTACAAAGTCCGAGATCTGGACTCATTGGGACTATGGATTTTTCCAGATATTAGATTAACAGTTTAAATCTAATAAGATGACTTGTTTAAATTATAAAATTAAAAATACAGAATGGTGGTGTAGGAAGTAAAGAAGAATTTATTATCGTAAGAGAATCAACCTCTCTGTCACTTTCTTCACTATTGGTAGTGATATTTTCTAGATGCTGAAGCGTACTACAGATTTTGCCATTCGTTAGTTGAAGGACAATTGGGCATTGTCATCACAATGCAAAACTTTTCTTATACCATTTTAATATGTTACTGCTTTTTACAAATTTCATTAACTAGAAGATTTCACTTTTTGTTTTCGATATATGAAAGCCTTCAAATTTGTGGCTATCATCATAAGGCTTAACTAACATTATCAGGAGGTCAGTGACTAAAGACATGTTGTTCTGCAAGAATTTGTCTTGGTCCTATCAAACAATTATGATATTAAGCCTGATTAATATTTCGGTATTTATTATACCTATGCTTATTAGGCATATCTGATTTCTAAATAAATAAACACCCATATATACAAAGGCTTGCCGAAAGTCGGCCCTAGGCATTTTGCAGCCAAGTGCAGTCTGTGTTAGTCTTAAATTATATGACTTTTATATAATTTAATTTTGATGCTCATTGCTTCTCTAGTGAATAAAAATTCTGCCTGTCCTAAATTCTGCCACCCAGTGCCACCCCACCAGCTTTGGCACTTATTTGAATAAAAAATCTGTTATTTTCAATTCAAACAGCCAAAATGTAATTTTGGGCCTATGAGTATCATTTACAATATACAGTCAAAAGTCGTTAATTCAGACACCCATAATTCAGAATGATGATCTATAATCCGGACCTCAAAACTAAAAACTTTCTGCGCATGCGCCGCGTTGACACATGCACATAGGCGTTTACGCGTGCGCGTAAGACCTTTTACGACTGACTGCGCATATGAGTGTGCGCAAGTGCAGAATACGTTTTCGCGTGCGCGTTTTATGTATAATGGACGTATAAGCTAAAATTATCTAATTATCTATTTCAGTTAATGTTAATGATTGCGTTGTTCCATAATTTAAGAATTGGATCCGGCTTATTATTTTTGCAGACTGTAAGAGCAATTTTATAAAAGTAAGCTTAAACTTTCGATTATATCAAATAGAATTTCCGATATATATTTGTTAATATGTAAAGGATCTAAAGCGAAAGTATGTTTTGAAATCCGAAATCTGTTATCAATTTCACGCTGCTCGGGGAGGGGGGGGGAACGCCACGGCGGGCGCATAATGAATTGGAAGTTGATCTGTCAGCACTATCCTTATCTTCAGCGCAGATGTTTTTATTTTATTTGGCTTATAATTCCTTACCAAATGTAGTATTTCATGTTGATATGCTCCGTCTTTGATATGATTTAAAACAAGTTCCTCGTCATTATAATTCGCTTCCGATAGCAAAGAAAAGTGACAGAGGTTATTGAAAATGAAAAAATTTCGATTGACAAATTAGTCGGTGTTCTTGACACAGCAATTATAGGACTTGAACAGCGGAATTTTGTAACTGAACAGAAATTATGTCTGTTTAATAGAATTAAAGAGAAAGTATTATCACATGAAACGAAGCAAAACTTAAACAACTTACATTGAAAGAAATGTTTAATAAAGTAAACAAATAAATATTGAGCTTTTTCTTTTTGCAAATTTTGATACCCTTTAGATCATAATTGTTCTTTATTTCATAAATTACGGTTTCATATTTTTAATTTTAGAATTTCTGCATGCCATCTAACGAGATTTAAACTGATGATCTATAATCCGTAAAAATCGATAATCCGGAATCGCCGAAGTCCTGATGAGTCCGGATTAACGACTTTTGACTGTATATATATTGCATAAGGAAAGAAATTTTATTAAATTTCTCCTCATGAACACTACACAGCTCTGTTAGCTGAAGTCTGCAGTCATTATCAAGCGTATTGTCAACATAAAAGCTTACAATGCTCTTTGGCATTCTGTTGCGAATATTTAAAAAAAAAAAAAAAATATCAGGCATTGCTGCTTGAATCATTTCTCAAGTTGCCATGTGTTGATTGTCATGCGGTGATGAAAGCAAAAATTAATAAATAATTATTCTCCAGGTTGGCATCAGGGTTAATAAAATCTTGGTGCAGCCCAGCCAGCCTAACAAATGGAAATATTATTCTTATGGTTCTTCATTCATCATCATTATTATTATTATTCTTCATTCTTATGTTCATTTGATATCAGGGATGTAAATTTATTCAGTATATGTAAAATAAATGTTTCAATGTAGAATGTTTCAGTTTGAAATGTATGCCAAGCAAAAAGGTGGTTGATGAGCTAAATTATTGGTCATATAAATTTATGACCAATAATTTGGCTCTTCAATCTTATAAATTTATTATCATAAATTTATATGATCAATAATTTGGATAATAATTAATTAGCATAAATTTCTGATTTTATTACTTCTTTAAATTAATATTAATTTCTTCAGCATGGGGGGTATTTTATTTTGAACCAGAGTGAAATTAAGAATTGGAGCTGTTCACATATTTTATAATAAAAAACTGTCAAATGCGCATGCATAAAAAATTTCTAAAAACCAGAAATGAATAAATAAATAAAAATAAAATATTCCAGGTGATCCAGAAGTTCAGATTTTAAATTGTCCCAGATATTGGACGTCCGAATATTGGATTTTGTTCTATGTGTAGTATATGTAATAAATAATTTTTGAGGTATTTTCTGATTATATGGACCCATACAAAGAGTTCATGGCAACTTTGTGACTTGACAAAAACATATGTTTGACTATCTTTATGCTCGTAAGTGGTTCGCTTCATAAATAACAACTGAAGCAAGCATTTCGTAAGAAGGAAAAAAATTTACGAGAAAATTGAGAAATCTATGTGGCTGATATTTGTATTTAGTGGTGTTCACCGAAATAACAATTAATCTAAAGTATGTAATCCATGTGTGTGGTACACACACTTATGGTGGCTTTTGCTGTGTGTACATATAAAAGTGTGCCAGAAACACAGTTTTATTGGTTGTTTATCTGCAGTTTTATTGGATGTTGAAATTTTGGTTGCTGTTAATCAGAAAATATCAATTTTTTTGCAATTATAATTTGTTATTAATTTTCATTTGTAATAAATCACCAAACTACCCAGAGGTAATTGTGCTAATACATAAGTACCATTATATTTTTTCCTTTGTTACTTTTACCCTAAAATGCAGTTACCAGGTAAATTTATTCCAGTCCTTATGAATTAATATTTTAATGGAAGTTAGATATTTGTAATTAAATTTTTTTTTAAATATATATGTGTTGTTTTTCAGGTTCACTTCACTTTCCTGCATGAAACAATTTTCTGTTGCTCAAAAATTTAGAGATTTCCCTTCAAATAATTTGATTAAAGTAGCTAAAAATATTTTTTCCAAACAATGGAGGAAAAATGTTGCAAAAAAGAAATCAAAGATATATGGAGGTATATTTTGTGTTTGTTTGTTATCACCCATAAAACCATTAACTGTTCTCTGCGAAGCTGATATATCACCTCACTCAAGACTTGTTGGTGTCAACAGTATTGAAAAGTTGCATCAAGAAGCTCGATTTGATTGGAGAAAGTTTTTTAGCATTGTGAAAGGGGAAGTTTTATACATATTTTTTGCAGTTGTGGTAAGTATAATATGTATGTTAATCTTTATATCATTTAAAAAAATAGTCTTAAGTTATACTGAATCATTTTTGAGGAAATTTGGATGTTGCATTTGATGTAAATTTAGAAATTTATATATAAGTATTCTTAAAGACATGGATTTAGTTGTAGTCTGCTGCAAAAAGGAGTCTACCACCTACCACTATAAAGCAAATCACATAAATAGTTTAGTTTGATAAAGAGTAACTAAAATTACTTTCTTTCTAATTGTATATATATATATATAAATTTAAACAAATTTAAATTCTAAACAAATACGTATAAAAGTAAAAAAATACGTATAAAATCCGTATAAAAAAATACGTATGCGTATTCCTTGCAGCAATGGCGCAAAGAATATTTAGTTAAATATGTATTTAAATTTAATTTTTTTAATTAAACTCAATTTATTCTTATATATATATATGGTTAGCAAAAAGTAATTTTTTTTTTTTTTTTTTTTTAGTGTGAAATAAATCTCAATTTTTTTCTATACAAAAAAATTAACTTTAATCGATGAAATATAGTCCATTCAGTTCAGTGATCTCTTGCCATCTTTCTGGTAACTGCGTGATTCTGTGCTCATAGAACTTGTTGCTTTATCAGCAAAACACTGAAGCAGTGCAATTTAAGATCATTGTTATTACTTAAATTTTTACAATTTATAAAGTTTTGTAAACTTTAAAATAAATAATAATGCGATGGTGCAAGGTCGGGGTTATATCGGGAATGTCACATCACTTCCCAGCCAAGCTCCAATAATTTTGCACTTTTGCTAAAGATACACGAGGCTTTGTATTGTCATGGTGGAACACCATTCTTATCTGACAAGTTTGGGCTTTTCATTTTGATTGCTTTGTTCAATTCCGTAAGTTGTTAACAGTAAACATTTGAGTTAATCATTTGGTTGTTTGGAAGTAGCTCAAATACGTAAGTCATTTGCAATCCCACCAAATTCACAGCATGATCATTTTCTTATGCAATTAAGCTTTCAATATAATTTGTGCTGATTCATCATGCGTTGACCATGATCTTTTTTATTTATTGTTATTGAAGACAATCAGATTTTCATCAAAAGTGATAATTCATTTAAAAAAAAGAGTCAATTAATTGCATTATGCTTGATATGCATATGGCAAATATTGATCTGTTAAGGTAATTTCTTTCAATTCATATGGAACCGAAATGCTGAACTTTTTAAGCAGTTCAAGACGTGTGATTTAGAGGAAATATTTGAAAGCCACCCTGCCTGATCTATTTACGCAAATTCTTAGATTTGTACCCAAAGAAGAGGATATTCCTAAGAATTGTATTATTTAACAATTATATCAAATTTAATAATCAATTTTTTAAACAAGTATGAGGAATACCTATGGACTGAAGCAGTTCATCGGCTGTTTGTAATATATTTCTATTCGCACAAGAATATAAATTTCAGTTATCGCTGAATTTGGAACAATGTAATTATTTTGCTTACTTTTACGGATATACAGATGACATTATTGCTATCAATAACTTTAATAAGATTGAGCAAGCAAATATATATTCAACTTGCCTTAAAGATACTAGCCTATAGCGAAAAGATGCCATTTACCTTGAATTAAAAATATTAAATAACAAAAACGTAAAAATATATGATAAAAGAAGAGATTTCAATTTTTACACTCTAAAACTAATCATTTAGAATTCTAACATCTCTAAGAAAGTTATTATTAATACAGTTAAAACCCAATTACAGTCAAAAGTCGTTAATTCGGACACCCATAATTCGGAATGATCTATAATCCGGACCTCAAAACTAAAAACTTTCTGCGCATGCGCCGCGTTGACACATGCACATAGGCGTTTACACGTGCGCGTAAGACCTTTTACGACTGACTGCGCATATGAGTGTGCGCAAGTGCAGAATACGTTTTTGCGTGCGCGTTTTATGTATAATGGACGTATAAGCTAAAATTATCTAATTATCTATTTCAGTTAATGTTAATGATTGCGTTGTTCCTTAATTTAAGAATTGGATCCGGCTTATTATTTTTTGCAGACTGTAAGATCAATTTTATAAAAGTAAGCTTAAACTTTCGATTATATCAAATAGAATTTCCAATATATATTTGTTAATATGTAAAGGATCTAAAGCGAAAGTATGTAATAGGAGTATGCATGTATGTTACGGGAGCGTAATGAATTGGAAGTTGATCTGTCAGCACTATCCTTATCTTCAGCGCAGATGTTTTTATTTTATTTGGCTTATAATTCCTTACCAAATGTAGTATTTCATGTCGATATGCTCCGTCTTTGATATGATTTAAAACAAGTTCCTCGTCATTATAATTCGCTTCCGATAGCAAAGAAAAGTGACAGAGGTTATTGAAAACGAAAAAACTTCGATTGACAAATTAGTCGGTGTTCTTGACACAGCAATTATAGGACTTGAACAGCGGAATTTTGTAACTGAACAAGAAATTATGTCTGTTTAATAGAATTAAAGAGAAAGTATTATCACATGAAACGAAGCAAAACTTAAACAACTTACATTGAAAGAAATGTTTAATAAAGTAAACAAATAAATAGTAAGCTTTTTCTTTTTGCAAATTTGATACCCTTTAGATCATAATTGTTCTTTATTTCATAAATTGCGGTTTCATATTTTTAATTTTAGAATTTCTGCATGCCATCTAACGAGATTTAAACTGATGATCTATAATCCGTAAAAATCGATAATCCGGAATCGCCGAAGTCCCGACGAGTCCGGATTAACGACTTTTGACTGTATTTAGAATAAAAAGAATTTGCAATAATACTACCTTTCTTCAAGAAGAAATCCAGAACTCTATTCATGTCCTCTTGGAAAATCAAATTCCAAATTTCATAATTTCACAAGCCTTGAAAAAAGCTGGCATTAACTTTATTTTTTAAATTACTTGTTTACAGTGACATGATATTTTTTACCCAAATCTGAAAAGGAGGTAACTAGTGAAACTAAAAAAGAGGTACTAGTAATTTAATGAATATATGTAATTAAATTGTCTCTTTTTCTCTTTGAATTTGGCTAAAATGATCAGAATAACATTCTTTATGTATTCTAAGAAATTACAGGCCATTCTGTTCTGTTAACTAAAAAAATGCTTGCTTGGATTTTTTTAAGTCATTTTTATAGCTCGATTGCGTGAAGAATTACGACTTTTAATGACACCTATTTTTCATATTTCCATTGCTTTAGTGCCAGTTTTAAAAAGAGATTGTTTTAAACCTAGCCATCTTGGATGATTTCTCATTAAATACAAAACTTACAAATGATGCAATGTTGGACACTTGTTACTTCTTCCTTGAGATGCCCCCCAACCCCTTTTCCAGCAGGCCAGTATTTGCTTCACAACAAGAAAGCGTGGCCTTGTTTATGGTTTTAAGTCCCTTGCTATTGACTGTAGAAGCTTTTTACAGTTTCTTGCATTCCCTTCTGCAAGGTTTGTTTGAAATTTTGGAAACCTTTTAGATGTCTGAAATTTTTATAGTTAATATATCCTACAGGTACATATATAGAAGGGTAAGTTTGATTTTTTTTCTATAGTTTGTTTTCGGTGTCAACTATTTATTCCCCTTTGTTAGCAAAATTTGCTCCAAAAATTGCCTTTTTAATTTTTATTTTGACAGGATTTTTATTTCACACAAAAAAAAAAAAAAATTGGTTCTTATACTTCACTTAAATGAGCCAGCCCTTGTTTTAGGATTTATATAATAAGAGTATACAATTAATTTTCAATTCTGAAAATTAAATTGAGTATTCATGTCTGTAAAGACATATTTTTATTTCTGTATAGTAATTTTTTCAACTTTAGCCTTTTTTCATAATTTATATATATATATTTTTGCAGTTTAGAAAGTTGGATTAATTTAAAGTGGTTTAGAGTCTCAGGGAATTCATTGAAACGAAACATGTTCTTCGTCACTCATTAATCAATTTGATTTAAGGCTTCAAAGCACTTTTCCCTTCACAAGTTCTGTTTGAAGCATTAAATAAAGGAGATTAAAAATTTTTTATTGTTTTGATTTTAATGTGTTCAAATTTTCCCGTTTTTTATAATTATTTCTCTTTGAAAAAAAAAAAAAATCTAATTTAAAGTGTAATTTTTTTTTTATTTGCATTTTGCCAGTTAATTTTGTTCCATGGAGGAAGTAGATTGAACCTTCAAATATTTAATATGGCATTTTCTTTATTGTTCAGATTTTCAAAATTTGTTTTATTATATATATATGAAGATTGACAGAAAAGTAATAAAGCGAACATAATGCTGTTTGTTCCAACCAATGACAGAAAAATAACAAAGCGAATATAATGCTGTTTGTTCCAACCAAAATTATTTTCTTGTCGATCCCAATTTATTTTAAGAATTTAGAAATTTCAAAATTAAAAATATAAATTATTAAAATGATGCAGTAAACTGGTATGCTGTGAAATTAATCAAGTATAATAATTACATTAAAACTGGTGATTAACAGTCATAACAGGAAGAAATACATTAAAATTGGAACAAAAACAAATAACTCAATAAAATAACATAATTAAAATAAACAAATAGTTAAAAATTTGTTTGGTTTTTTACCAAGGAGCAGCAGAAAAATTTTCAGAGCTGCATATGGGTATCTGAATGATCATAAATTTATGAAATGAATCAAAAGTAAATGCCAAATAAAAAATGAATTAAATTAATTACACATTTTTGTAATACAAATTAAGAATGCAATAAATTACTTAAAAATTTTTTTTTAGCCTTTTAAATAAATCATCAAGATATAGTTTGCTGGGATGTGACCCAACACAAATAATACTGTATAAATTTTAAGCCGTATAAAATAAGAAGTTTTGAAATTGGAAACCAGGTAAACAGTTGGTCAAATTCGAAGCAATTAGTATTTTTCAAAACTGCTAAAAACTGTTAAAAATCAAAAGTAATCATTTCAAAACATTTGTGCGTAGCATGCCACCCAGTAAAGTAATAGCATATTAACATAATACTGATAATGTTAGATTTGTTTTATAGCAGAATATTTCAGAACTATTTTTAAAGACTTTTCATATATTTCTTATCTCATTTAGAATTTTATTTTGTTTACCTCATATTAACTGGAAATGTATAACAGTGATTTCTTATTTTTATAGAGTGCACTCATTGTAGCATTTTTAAATATTCATATTCCTGTTGCACTGGGAGATATGGTAAATCTGGTGTCTTCTTTTGTGGCAGATGAATATGTAGAAAAGGATGCTATTTTGTTTTTCACTGAATTAAGAGAGCCAACTGTGCGTCTTCTTTATATGTATCTTGCTCAAGTAAGTGTATCTCTTTCATTTCTTTTTTCAGGAAGGGAAAGCTGTTAATTATTTTGCCATATTTGAGTTTAACTTCTTAAAATTTTTTGCCCCTGTATAATTTTGTGTATAATTTAAAATTCTTATTATGTTAAGTCTTAAAAACTGGATATTTTTGTATTTTATCAGAATGATTATATATATAGTTCTGAATAGCACCTCAAACAATTTTATCTCTGGCAGAGGGAATAAATTTATAGAAATTTATAAATAATGGGGTTTTCAGTAAGAAAGAGGATGCCATTGGAATACAAAATCATTCTGCTAATTCTGTGGGGTTTTTTTTTTTGGGGGGGGGGTAAAGGGATGGTTTATTTGTTTTTAAGCATAACAGTTACAGTAGTTTGTAGTGAGGGTATTAATCAGTTAGTGGCAATTTAGTATTTCCTTGAAAATGTTTTTGATTAATTAATACATCTGGTCCTTTTCCATTTTGCCGGCGCAAGCGATTAAGTCACCAAAAATGGTGCATCCAAAGCCAAACGGAACATCCTCACTGGTAACCTTTTACGCCTCATTTTCAAAACAAGTCACAGCCATTTCTTATCAGATTAATTGTTTCTTTCAATGCTGGCATACAATTACATAGGATTTTTACCCAGATAGTTCAGTTGTATACTCTATGGCCATTCACGGTAATTAGTCAATTAGGATTCAATCACATTGCTCATCTGAAGGCAAAAATATAGAAAATGTAAAGTCGAGGGTTAAATTCATCAGTTCTAATGAGAATGCACTAGCGAAGTAAAGCACTGCGGTTTTACATGATTTCTGAGTAAGCTATTCATATGAATTGAAATAATTCTTGCATTTAAATTTGTATTCCAAATTAAGATTTAACTTGAAATTAATGTAGATAATTACTGATTTTTTTAGCGTAGTTCAGGTGAGATGAGATCACTTGGGATCACATGATATGAAACGTCGAATCAGGCTGTTGTACTATGAAAGCATCTAGTAAATTCTTAAATTAATGTCTTTTTACAAATTTATTGGCTTTATTTATTGTCTTTTTACAAAATTTTAAATGATATTTAAAATGTTTATGCCTTCAAAATAAAAATTTCTTAGAACTAACATTTGTTAACATTTTTTATGTGTGTACTGTGTGTTGTCGCCGATAAAGTCTGCTTGGCGAGATTTGTGCTGGCGAAACGGAAAAGTACCATACGTTTACATTGAATGTAAGAATTTTCTATCTAAAGGAAGTACTAGTAATTTAAACACTGTTCTGTGCCTTTATTAAACTTATACACATTTCAGTAATAAAATATAGATATGTTTTTGAAAGTCTGTAATTGTAATTTACCACAATCAACATGTTTTGAAATGTATGTGTTGAGGTAATCACATATTCAGGATTTAATATTGTTATTAATTTTGTGGCTGTTACAGTTTCATTTATATGTAGGTCTTGATTGAATATGGTTTAAAGACTGTGAAGATCTTAATGACTTTGAGAGGGACAGAAATTCCTGAATTTTAGAAATACAGCAATTAATTTATTCACTGGATGATAACTATTATTATAAATTTAATTGATGTATTTGATGTTTCAGTGTAACAAATATGAAAAATCTCTACCGTATTTGCTATGGCTGAATAAGGTGATTGACATCATGATCTATATGGTTCCAAGATTATTAAAAGGAGCAATTAAAAATAAAACAAGAGATTGGAAATGCAAGTTTATTATTATTTTAAAAGACAATAAAAATTATATATAATACTTTTTGTGAGATAAGCTATTAAAACTACAGAAATGCTTGATTGTGTATAACTATTCAATGGTTGAGAATTTTTAAAAGAGTAGAAAATCCAGATTGATGACAATTGTCATTTTTGCTAATTTAGACTTTTGGTTGCAAATCAGAATGCTCTTAAAGCTCTAAAGACTGTGAAGCTCTAATTAAGGTCTTCACAGTATTTCATTAGCTCTTGCATGTCATATGTGTCAGTATCCCATTAATACAAATTTTAGAAGTTAAGAAATTGTAAAGTTTAGAAGTTAATAAAGCATTTCAAATTTTAAATTAAATAGATTTTTTTTAAAGTTATAAGGTTTCAGTACACATTATATATTGTTGTATAATGAATATATTTTCCTTTAACTATCAGATTGCATTAACATTTTAAGCTTATGCGTGAAACTGAATTTGTTGAAAAGAATAATAGAACAAAGAAAAGTATATTGCAAGTCTGTGATTCAGTTAATTGAATTTAATGTACCTGTTATCAGTTATATGGCTGTGTAATTGAACATGCAATTGTAGAAGTGAATAATTGTTGCATGTGAGCTGATAATAATTAATTAAATGATTTTCTTTCTTTTATTTTTTTCTATTTAGAGCCTATTCACATTTGCCTATATTTCCATCCTGTCTGTCTCCGGTGAAAGAGTAGCTCGTAATATGAGAAGGGAACTATTTGCTTCAATTATTGAACAAGATATTTCATTTTTTGATGCTCATAAAACTGGAGAAATTTCAAGTAGGTAGGTTTAATTTAAAATAGAAATTTGCTTTCATAGTTTTTATCTAGTGATTATTATTTTTTTAATGTGTGTTTTAAACAATCATAGATTAAGATAAATGTAGTTAAATCACTTGTCTTAGGAAATTTCTTGTTTAAGAGCTTTTCTAACTTTTTGTATCTCAGCAAATATGTGTAATAATTTTATGAACAGTTCATAGAAGTGAATCCAATATATTTCCAAAGCTTTAGTTCAGTTTATCTTTTGTTGTTTTAAGTAACAGAAGTAAACAATTGTGAAATAAGCATCACAATCTTTAATTAAAGAATATTGCAGTTCTCAGATAATTTTCTTAAAAGCATACAGAGGAATAATCCCTTAGGGACAAGATGCATCTTTATAAACAACAGATTTAAAAGGATACAGTTTTAGATAAAAGCTAGGTGTCAGAGACAAAAGGCATAAAATTATCTCAGTTTGTGTTTAATTTAGAGCAGTTTCTTTATTTCTTGAGAAGAGGGATTTACTATTACTTTATTACTATTTATTATGGAAAGGATTTAATTTTTATATTACTGGAGAGAAGCTGAAGAAAAAAAACATTTAATTCTATAATTAACATCAATAGAAGCATTATGCAATGTAAATTTCTTTAAAAAAATTGTTGACTAATGTTTTATTGCAATAAATAACCCAGATGAAAGCAGTTTGACTAAAAAGAAAGAACATTCTAAAATATAGCTTTTTAGTAAAAAAGTATTAAAGAGTGAATTCAAATTACGAGTAATATTACATGTTGACTAATGTTGCATTGAAATAAACAACCCAGATGAAAACAGTTTGACTAAAAAGAAGGAACATTCTAAAATATAGCTTTTTAGTAAAAAAGTATTAAAGAGTGAATTCAAATTACGAATAATATTACATGTAGCAGTGGATTATGCAGTTTCAGAAGATTTCAGTGATGAAATAAAAAATTCTGAAACGTTTCAAAATATATGGCAATAAATTATCATTTTAAAATTAGATTATCATCTAATATATTAACATCTGCTTTAAATATAGGGTATGTAAACAGTCTCAGCTTGAAGTTTGTTTTTTCTCTTTCCAGTAAGAAACATTCTATGACTAAAATATGTTGTAAATATCATTAATTAACATTTTTAAACAAAACAAAAGAGTTCTATACCTAATAAAGTGTAAAGCCACCAAGCATTGCTTTTAAATAGGAAAAGAAAGCAACAAATGGCATCCAAAAAAGTAATCCTTTGATAACTATTAGTATTAAAATTATTTTCTGTGGTACAGTTAATAAGTGATATATCTAGTTTCCATAGAAAATCCACTAACTCAAAGAGTTAGTTATAGTACAGAATTCAAAGAGTAAAGAATAGTGTCTTTAGATAATGGGCATCAACATTAAACAAAGCAAGAGAGGGAGAAGGAAAAAAAAAAAAAGAGATTTAAATCTTTTAAAAAAGGGGAAGATAAAATTATGGTATTCATTAAACATGTGGCTAAGAATATGTTACAGAGCCCTCCAGAAAAATCATTAATGGGGTTTGTTTTGGTTTATTTAATTATGGCAAAGCACACTAGGGCTATCTGCCTAAGGGGAGGGATGCCTTCGTGGGTAACTTTCTAAGGGAAACTGGTTTGTATACACATTACACATGGGGAAAACCACGAAAATGCCCATGCAGCCAGTCCGTTCACGGGATTCGAACCTCGGGCTGAACTACCAGTGTTTAACGACTTTACTGCTCGGCCGCTGGTGGGCCATTAATGCGGAAAACAGAAATAGATTGTAATCTTTGAAATAGCATGGACTTATCTAAATGACTATTAAAAAAATACTGTCTCAGGAGTAGAGGAAAAGTCTACAAAGTTGATTTCAAGTAGCTGAATAAAATTTAAATAAAGAAATTAGATTATTCCTGGCTTTTAAAACAGAGGAAAATTTAAATTAAAAAATAAAGAATTAAGTTACTTATATTATTTAGTACTTATTTGATGCAATAGTAGGATGATTTTAATAGGGAAAATGCAATGAATTAAAGGTAGTTTTGCTTTACTTCCATATAAAGAATTGTACATTAAAAAAAAGTTTTGGCATCCTTTTGTATATCAGGCCTTTCAATCAAGCAAAACATAAAGCTTGACTTTTGATTCATGAACAGGTAAACATAAAAACTTGAAAAAGCTGTAATCTGATAGTTATTTGTCAGGTTTTATCAGACAGACAAAATGTCTAAAAATGGTTTATCAGAAAAATGTTTTTGGAAAACTTTGATCTGTTTATCAACACATTTATGAAAGAATACATCTTCATTACAATAAAGCCAGTCATTTATTTAAATCTGATGCCAGATTTCTTTCTTTTCTCCTTTTCCCTCTCCGCCCTTTTTTTCTAAAGAATAATAGAAAAGATAGATACTAAATACCAAATAAATATATATATCTACTACTCATAATTGTTCAGAATCCTGTAAAGTTTAACTAATGTCTCTTGTGCCTCTGGAGTACTAAAGATAGAGACAACACAGGCCTAAAGTAATGTGTGAACTGTGGAAAGCAGCAGAAGAGTAGTGGAGTGAAATACCATGTAAAAAATGACCTCTTTTCTGGAAATCAGTATGTAAATTCATCATTTGGAGAAAGTTATTAAACAAAGTTTTATAAAATATTAATTAAGTGTAGAAAATTTCTTCTAAAATATGAAAATCATTTTAGTTTCCAGTTCTGTAATATAATATTACGTATCTTTATACATAATATTATAGTACAGAACTGGATGTGATCTTTGCTTTCTGAACTTTGAAGCTTCATATCATTGGTAGAATGTGAATTTACATATAGCATACTTTAATTGCTGATACATGAAATCTAGATTTTCAGCAAAATATATCAGTAGTTATTAAATGAAGTTTTCCTATGAGTTAAGAGCATAAACTTCTAAATGTTATTTTATGATTTGTTAAGTTGATGACTACAGCTGCATTATTTAGAAACTGGAATTATTAAAATTTTAAAACAAAGATGCCTTATAACTTACTTCATTACATATTGGAAGTAGAATCTTAAAAAACTGAGAGCTGAAGCTAGGGTAAATACATAAGCTGAGACACATTTGAATAATCTATGCAGTTTTTTTTTTTCATCATACAAAATTAAAAATTAGGAAAACAGCAAGCATAGATGTGGTAAAATTAATGCTATGCTAAGCTTAGTCATCAGAGACTGATAGATTGGAGTATAACTAGAGATGATTGCCATTTTTATCTGTCAGGTTACAACTTTTTAAAGTTTTTATGTTTGCTTACCTATGCATCAAAAGGCAAGCTTTGTTATCTGTTTTGCCTGATTAAAAGGTTTAAAATACAAAAGGATGCTTTTAGACTGAAATATTTTATTTTCTTATCGTGCAGTTCTTTATAGGCAAATAAAGCAAACTGCAGAACTATGTTATATTTGATTGCATTTTCACTATTAAAATCATACTTTTTCTTACTATTCGTAAAATAAGTACTGGATAATATTTTTGTCTTCTACCTGTTTTTGTAAAACTGAAAATCATTTTTAAATTTGTGGAAAGAATTCACTAAGAAAAAACCACCAAGAAAGAGGATAAAACTGACTAAACTTTCCCCTCCCACCAAGAAAAAAGATAAAATTAGCTAAACTTTTAAACTGCAGCAGTGTATAGCAAACACTTTCATAAAATGCTAAATATCCATGTTGCTATTTTTTCTCCCATTTTTGGTTGAAAGTGCATTCTATTTGAAAATTTTAGATTGACTAATGATGTACAAGAATTTAAAAGCTGTTACAAACTCTGCATTTCACAAGGACTGAGAAGTATTGCTCAGGTAATTATACTAATAATGCTTTATTTGAAATTGGTTTTTAATTCTTTTTATTAATATGTCTGTTGCTAAACTGAACTAGTTATGTTAGTTTAGTTTTATTAATTGTTTTCACATTTTTATTTAAATTTGGCAGTTTATTTATAAGAAATAACACACTAAATTTTTCTTTTGTAAATTTGTTTCCTTATTCTTATATTGAACTATTGGGGAAAAGTGTTTTTAATGAATTGTGCAAAATGTTGATGTCTGTAGTGCCTGTTAAAAGAATTCTTATTACTCATATTCTTTTTGTGTGTAGAATAGTAGAGTTTTTTTTAAATATAATATATTAAAATTTATTTCAAATAGATACACACTGCCTTTTAAATTTGAAAGAGGACATGCCAACAATTTTCGTTCAAGTTGTTATTATCAAATATTGCATCATATTAGTAGAGATTTATATTGAATTCTTAAGGTATTGTAGCATAATGTTTTGTATTGAATTTTTATATTCCTTTAAAATATGTCAGTGTATTGTTAATTACCTATGATGAGAAGAATGAATGCAAGTAGTACATTAGGCATAAATTGTATAGCTTCTAAGTTTTATATAAAAGATGTTCCCCACAAAAACCATCTTCATTGAAAAAAGTGTTGTGGACTTATTTTTTATCTTGTAGACTTACTGTCATCAAGAGACTTTAACAAGCATTTTCATTTAACTTCAACTGTTTTTATGAAAGGACTTTAAAACAAAAATTTCACTTTTCAATGGACATTGTGAAGAAAAATTGAGGACTTTCATGATTCAAATTTATTATTTAGTATTATTAAATATATTATCTTATAGTTCTAAATTGGATTTTACTTATAAATTATATGTTTATTTATAAATCATAGGTGCCATTGTAAAAATTATATAATTAAGCATTTTCTAATTATATGAGAAAGATCATGAGTTATGATAGGGCTTCAAAGCGTCCAATAACAGAACTAAGTATTTTAACATGTATTCATAATGTCCTATACTGTTAAACTTTGTGTGTGTGGGTGCCAAACGTTGGGTGCAACCTTATCACATACTTTTTCGAAGAACTACAAAATTTCTGCTTCTCCAGAGCAGCTTTGAATTCTACCTTCTTTTGCAAAGAATACAGTTTGGTCGTCTTAAGATTTCAGTTAGTTTACATTAAGAAAGTCTTCTTAAGAATTCAGTAAGTTTGCTCTTTTTTTTTTTTTTTTTCCAAGTTTTGTTTCAAATAGGTTCTTAATTTTTAGCTGTTTAAGGCTCAGATTAGATTTTATTATTTATAGAAATCTCTAAGAAAAGTTTTTCATTTTCTTGGTATTAAAAGTTTAGTTTAACATAATTGGAGATCACCCAATTTTTTAGTGTTGTTTAAATGACACATTGGTTTAATGTATATATGATTTGCTCTTTATTTGTAATTGCTTTTGAATTTCGAATTTGTATATAATGATTTTAGACCAATTTGTTTTTTTGAATAGTCAATTTTTGTAATGTAAAGTTTTATGGTTCTTTTTGAGTAGTCAATTTGACACAATGTTATGTTTTATTCTTTTTTCCAAGTATTTTGAAAGCATGTAGGGAAAATTCTGGTACATTTGAGATTCGATTTGAGATGAATTTTAATATCTTAAATGAAAATTTAATTGAATCATTTTTCCGTTTTTGATCTCAAATGAACCAGGAAAACTGAAACATGTTTTCGAAACATACTAATTGGCTTTTATGAAGCTTGATTTTTCCCTGATGAGTTTTGAATTGAAATTTCAGTAAAGGGAGATTAATTTTTATAATTTAGTATATTTTCCTTTTCACATTTTTATTTTCCGAGTTTGTTCTACTATGAATTCTTATTTTAATTCTGATTTGTTTAGATATTGTGTTAAACCTCTTATACATGGTTGCAATTATAAATATTGGTGAGAAATAGCCTTGCTTTAATTCAAATTTAATATTAAGTTTAGATGCTTTAAGTTTATTTTTCTTCAATCCTGCTGCTGTAGCCCAGGACGGGTTTAAAAAACTTTGTTTTTAATTTTAGCCTATTATTAAGTTTCTTTGTATAATGCATATAAATTTATTTGTGAGCTTTTGGCTTTTTTCATTTTTGTATACTAGCTTTTTAAAATACATTTTTATGACTAACTTCTTTTACAGCATAAAAATAAGAATTAAAATAACATAAATGTAAAAATGCTAGCTACATATTCGAGGAAAAGTGGAATTAAGTTGGTTCATGCCAGTTTGGCAGAACTTTTTTATAAAGTATTTCTAATTTATCTAATGTTATTAATATTTATTCAGGCAATTTATAGCTATTTCATAGTTATTTTTATTGCTTATTTGGTAGAGAATGAGTTTTTGAATTTTTTTAACACCAACCATAAAAGAACCCAAATACGCTTGTCATCAAAATTAAAGGAAAATGAGAAACAAAATATGCTCACCTAGTTAATGTTGCAACCAGTGTCCAGTGCTGTAATTATTTATGCTAATTAAATACTTAATGGAACAAAATTGAATTGAACAAAAAATTGCACTTCCGCACATACATTGGTGCCGGAAATATGCAAATTTGGTGATTGGCGATGTAATGCGCTGTGGAAGCATGTTGGAGTTACATTCTGTAGTGTTGTTTAAAGTGAACGTGACTGCTGAGAGTGATAAGTATTCAGTAGTTATGGTTCAAAGGCTGAGAGTGATAAGTATTCAGTAGTTATGGTTCAAAGGCATCATTTAAGTGAAAATTAAAAGTGGCAAATAATTGATAGAGTCAAGGGAGGTCAAACACAAACGGAGATCACTCAAGATTTGAATATTCCTCAAAGAGTCATATCAAGAGTTCAGAGCCACTTTTTATCCGCTGGATCAGTGGATAGATAGCCTGGTCAAAGGCAACCAAGAGCAGCAACTGCATCAGAAGACCTTTTTTTTTTTTTTTTTTTTTTTGAGTCAAAAGAAGTGACTACAAGAGATTTGGTTTTAGACCTTTAAGCTGCCACAGGAACTTGAATCAGCCATTCTGCTGCTACATGAAGGCTTAATGAGGTTGGACTGTATGTGAGAAAAACCCATGGTTTGTGTCCCACTCACTGCAGCTTCTAGAGGGGCCCGTTTAAACTGGTGCCATATTCGTGTTCAGTGGAGCCAAAACATCTGGGCCTGAATATTGTTCCCACATGAGTCCAGATGCAGTCTGAATAGTAATTCTAGATGTGTTTTGATGGGGGAGAGGAAGGAACCCACAACTTGTCTTCCCTTGTCCATGAAATATCCCATGTCCATGACCTTAGTTTAATGGTTTGGGGAGGAATTATGACAAATGGCCGCACTCAGCTGCATAGCTGTCAAGGAGGTTCTGTAACTACTCGGAGATATTTGTACAAGGTATTGGAACCGCAAGTTAGGCTGTTTAGGGACGCTGTTGTCCCAGAAAAATGACAATATTTGGCCATTGTCTCAGAGAAATGACACTATTTGGCCATTGAGCATATGTGGTGTCAGAATATTTACAAACAGAAGATATCACTTGAATGGATTGACCACCTTACTTACCTGACTTGAACCTGAATGAGCATGTGTGGGGATTTCAGTGAGCCAAATTCTTTTTTAGACCCTCCAGGAGATGAAAAGTGCTATTGCAGAAGAGTGGCATGCAATTCCACAAGAGCTGATCAATAAATCTATGAAATTGAGAAGTGAGGTATGGATATCTGTCGAAGTGACGTACAACATATTAACCCTTTGCACTCAAGAGGTGACTTTCTCTCACCATGTAATTTGATGCTGCAGCTTGAGAGGTGACTAACACTCACCACTTGGTTTGATGTTGAAACTTGATGCGCGGCAATAACTGTTTATGTTTAGTTTCTTTGAAGCGGGTTTCTACGCTCTTTCTGTATAATCTTATGAAAAATAAAATGATACCCCTTTAAATGGAGATAAGATTTTATTATCTGAAATCTTATCTTTTCTCACTTATTCAAGTCTGTTCTCAGAGAAGTGAACCCAGAAAAAGACATCAAATGACATATTATTGTAAAACTTGCCCCAATAAACCGGGCATGCATCTTGGGAATTGTTACGTGAAATATCATACACAGAAAAATTACAGAGACTAATATTTAAGAAATTATATTTATAAATGTGCAAAGATGTATAAAATGTTAAAATATAAAAATTTTATACATTGTGTGTGTAATGATTTTAAGTTACTGGTAAGAAATGCATCAAAAAGGCTGCAAAGCATCTTGAGTTGCTGGTGTGCCGCTCGAAAACTCGAGTGCAAAGGGTTAAAGAAAGATTTATTCCACAAGAGGTGATTTAATTTTTTTCATCATTTTCCAGTTTACATGAATTTGGTTTTAGTTTCAATATTTTCTGAATAATCAAATTGTCAAACATTGTAATTTATGTTAACTAATGCTTTTGCACCAATTTCTAGTAATAATTTTTCTTTAAGTATCAGTTACATTTTATTTCTGTCATTATCCTTTAATTTTGATGACTGAGGTAATTCATCTGTGTCACTTAATGTTTTAATCATAAATTGTCAGAATTTTTAAAAATTTAATATACTCAGATGCTGTGTCAGATTCAATTTTTTATGCTTATTTTTCAAAGGTGCATACTTAACATTCAAAGGTGCATACATAACTGTTATTAGCTGAATGTGATTGAAATGCATTATTTTTAATTTCTCTTATAAATGAACAGAGTTCAGCCTAAATCGATGTACCTAAGTCATATACTCTCTTTGCAATGCTTTAAAAAAAAGATTATAGTGAACCTCCCCCTTTGTAACTGAACAAGAAATAATGTCTGTTTATAGAATTAAAGAGAAAGTATTAGAACACAAAACGAAGCAACTTAAACAACTTACATTGAAAGAAATGTTTAATAAAGTAAACAAATAAATATTAAGCTTTTTTTTGTAAATTTTGATACCTATTAGATCATAATTGCTCTTTATTTCATAAATTACAGTTTCATATTTTTAATTTTATAATTTCTGCATGCCATCTTACCAGATTTAAATTGATGATCTATAATCCGGAAAAACCCCTAATCCTGAATCTCCCAAGTCCCGATGAGTCCGGATTACAGATTTTGTACTGTATATATTTTGGAACTGGTAGATAGATTGAGCCAATTTGTGCAACTGGATTGGGGGATTCTTTGAAAAAGATCATATCATATCAAGCTAAATTATGCCTGATATACTTCATGAGTAAAAAATTCATTTTCATTCTTTTTCTGACTTCCTTTACCATTCATATATTTTATTAAAAACTAAGATATTTAATTTCTTCCACATGTAATATATGCTCTCCGTATTAGTTAAATTTTTTATAGTTTAACTTTTCATGAAATCACTAATAAATGTTTTTGCTTAAATTAGTTAATTATTTTATTGTAACTAAATACTATTTGGATATAAATTTTTTTATGCAACAGTTTAAGAAATAACATAATCATGCATTTTGTTTTAGACAGTTGGCTGTGGTGTATCACTCTATGTGATATCTCCAAAAATGACTGGTCTTATGATTTGTGTGGTTCCTGTTATTGTCCTGACTGGCACTTTTATAGGAAGAATATTGCGAACTATGTCAAAATATGCTCAGTCACAGGTATATAAAAATCTGTATTATAATTTTATGCTGTCTTTATTATAATGCTATATATATATAATCTATTTTATAATTTTTGGTATCTGTATTATAATGTATACATAAATCTGTGTTATAATTTTATGCAATTCATTATCTGTAATATAATTATTTGCCATCTAAAAGTATAAGCTTGGAATGTAGTATATTCAATATGAAGAAAATGTAGGAGAATATTTTATTCTGTTATTAGCTGAATGTGATTCTCTCTTTAGTGACTTTCTAGCTTCTAACAAGATACTTACAAAACAAGGTTTAAAAAGAGCACTTTGATCAAAATTTTTATTACATTTTGGGTCATCAGATGCATTAAGAATAGGATCTCAAGGCCTACTTACTTGTCTCAAAGTATTTAAAATTATTACCATAGGATTCAACTAACAAACATTTTTTTTGTATGTGTGAGTATTAAGATGTTATTAATGACACAAAAAATATTGTTACTTAGAATAAATTTATAATTTTAAAAATAGCAAAACGCAGAATTAAATTTTACATGGAAAGTTAAGTACATGTGATCATTAATTAATAATCAGTTCACGTAGATTTTTTTGAAATGTACATAAGCTTTCCCTACTTTATGAAATTATTTCTGTGAAAATTTTTGTAAGCTGAAATTGCATGAAACAAAGAAATTACCATTAATTTATATGGGAAATATCTTTGAGCGTTTTTAAGTCTTCAGAGAAACGAAACTGATACTGGTCTTGAGTACGAAATATCGAAGAAAAAATACTTACTGAATAATGACGTCGTAATTACCAAATAATAATGAGTCATAATGGAAATACCCAATTATTGACATTATGGTAAAAGTTTTTTCTCCTCTAATCTCTGCATTAAGGTAAGAAAGCAGACGATTCACTCAACTCTTCTTTCAAGTTCACGATTCACGTTGTATTTTCTAATCTTTTGTTATTTCACGAGATTATTTAGTTCTGCTCTTCTTTTATCTGATATTTTTGTGGATAAATTAAGAATATTAATTTCAGCCCTTTTTTAAACAATTACAGATAAGAAATGCAGTCATGATTTACTGCTTGCAAGGATGAAAAACTAAACACTTGCATTGACGGTAATGCGAAATTGCAAATTCTGCAAAGATGGAGATAGGTGCATTTTATAGCAGAATCATGTGGAATTGCGATATGATTGTGTTATGATATACAGAAAAATAAAGAAAAAGTGTTAAAATTTTATAGCAGTGATTCTAACACCGGAATCCGAAACCGGAAATCTTTGCATGAGGCGAAATTGGCAAACCTCGTGCTGTGTAGTATAATAAATGAATAATATGGTAATTTATAATGTAATAATAATTTAATGCCTATAATAGTTTTGCAATAATGTATATAATAATTTAATTAAATGTATCTATCACCTTATTATTTTGCACTTTTAGCTGAATATTATTCTTTCTGTCCTGCTCTGCAAAATCCTAAATCTGCACAACCTCTGTTCCAAGCTTTGCGTTTCGGACTTTTTACTGTAGTGCTTTTGCAGCGCAACCACCTAAATAGTTATTATAAAAAGTAATATATAATGATTTAAGATCCACTGTCTACTTCAGATCTAGTAATAATTGATAATAACTGAAATGAATCTGCATTATTACCTTTAAATTGCTGAGATTGTTAATTAATAGAGAGCAAGTTTGAAAGCAAAATTAGTCTTCATGATTTTGAGTTTTTTAATAAAAATTTCAGTAAATTTGCATAGAATGTGAATTAAATAAAAGAGAAATTCAAAATTCAAACTTTAATGTGTGCACATATTCGGACTGAAGCATTCTTAATTTGTTGGCTCTGAGTGCTGCTGTTTTTCTGTAATGCAATTAAACTTAAAACAGTAGTATATTGCATTCTACCTAGTGGCAATATTATTCTTTTATATTGTCGAGTTTTTTGTTTGAATGTGAAACATAAATATATAATGCTTAGTAGGATAGCAACATAAAGATTTTAAATCTCTGAGTTTTTAATCAAAATTTCCTTAATTTGTCATAAAATATGAAATTAATAATAAGCAAATTTAAGCTTCAGGATTCACATTTTCTGGTGGAGGACTGTGTGTGTTCAAAAATTTGTGGCTCTAAATGCCACTGGTTTTCCACTATGCAAAGCACATATACACACACTAATGTACACCTATTATATCCATACAGATGTACATACAAATTCTTCATTATGTAAAAACAGAAATAAGCTGCATAACTAACACTCATTATAATAACCTTGTCTCTGTGACCAATTTCAAGTTAGGCTTGTGTCCACTGTATTAGTAGCTGTTGTGTCTTAAAATGGGTAAGTAATAAGTATTTGGTTTGGCACATTTCTTTGCTCCTGATGAAGAGTGACCTGTTCCTAGTTGCTCTTGAAATTGATAGAGTCTTAACTGAAATTTATGTCAAACACTAGGTTGTTGCTTTGCTTAATTTTAAATAGAAAGGTATTCTGAGGAGCTGCATTTATTACTTTTAAATCCCATTGTTTTTTATACTCCTTTAGTTAGCAGACAGATTAAATTAGCAAGTTAAATATCTTAAGCTTATCTTATAAATGTGTATAATTTTTTACAGATGAACTTTCTTTTACATGTGACAAGTTAGGAAAATTGATGTGATCCCATGACTGCCTTGATGGCTTATAATTGTACACATTTTCTGCATTTCATTAACGCATTCCTTGATTTCATTAGAGATATATTTCTCATTCAATTTTCGCTCTCACTTCGTAGTAAGGCAGAAGAATTCATAGAAACTTAAACACTTCATTAAAAATTGTAAAATACAGAAAATATAAAACAGATCAGTTAAATTTTTTTTTATTTCTCCACAAAAACAGCATTCGTTAGCGACGAGAAGGCAAATTTTTTGGTGCACAAAACTTAAAGGTTGCTTTTGGTCTCACTCGACAAAATGATATTCAAGATGCAGAAATTGACTTAATTCACTATTCTTCTGAGTTTCAAATGTAAATAAATGGCAGTTCATTACGTTTAACTTGCCACTTAAAGTTTTAAGTTTTTGATAATTCTACAACAGTGGCATTCAGATTAACTAAAAACATAAGAATCTTAACTGGAACATAAAAACTACGTAATTAAATCATTTTAAAGCAAAAAATGCACAATTCACCAACAAATAAGAATTAAAAAACTAAGCCCACCGAGCCAGGTAAGAGTGGGAATACAGTCAAAAGTCGTTAATCCGGACTCGTCGGGACTTCGGCATCGGATTATAGATCATCATTAAATCTGTAAGATGGATGCAGAATATAACATTAAATATGGAACCGTAATTTGAAATAAGAACAATTATGATCTAAAGGATTTCAAATTTACAAAAAGCTTAATATTTATTTTTTTCTTACATTCTTCGCTATCGAAGCAATTTAATGACGAGGAATTTGATTAAATCTATCAAAGACGAGTACATCGAGATGATACTACTTTAGTAATAAAATCCAAAAAATAAAACTCTGCCCGGTAGATAGGATAGTCTGACAGATTATTTCCAACGCACGCGGAAATTTGTAGCTTTAGGTCCGGATTATGGGTGTCCTAATTAATGACTTTTAACTGTATTATATAATACTTAAGAAATATAGATCTAAAATTAAAAGCAAATTTCTATCTGTCCTGTAGCTGCAGGATTGAATTAAAAAGACTTCAGAGTCTAATTTAAAAGTAATTGGAGTCAACAAGTTCTTCACAATAATATTAAATTGCAATTGTATATAAGAGGTTTAAACAAATAACCAAACAAATCAAAATTAAATTAAGATTTTTAGTAGTACAAACTAGAAATACAAATGAAAATGCAAAAGTGAAAATATATACAAGATAATAAAAATATAAATGAATCTCCTACTGAAATTCCATTCAGATTCATCAGGGGGAAATGAATAAAGCTTCATAAAGTTGATTGTATGTTCAAAAGTGTTTCGTTCTCCTGTTCATTGAGATCAAAAACCAAAACAAGAATCTATTAAATTTTCATTTAAGACATTAAAATTCATACAAAACCATAAAATGGAATTTCAAATGTATTTGTTTCAAAGGCATGGATATTTCCCTACATCCTCGAATACGGAAAATGAATTTTCTTTTGAGGCAGTATCTCAGCCTTTCTTTTTCCTCAACTTTGAGCCAGTACTGCTTTTGCGTTTTAAGATTTTACAGATGACAGCTTCTTTTAGAAGTTTCATGCCACCATTTTGGAGTCGACGATTATCCTATTCATAGTAATCAGTTTTATAGACGCACCCACATTGGACCCTGCACACAAAGTTTAACGGATAGACTTTTGAACACATTTTAAAATTGTTCTGCTAGAACCTTTGAACCTTATCATGTAATTTTCCCAAGAACTGCAATTTTTGCTTCTGTGGAGCAGCTTTGAATTCTAAGGAACCCAGTTTGGTTGTCTGAAGAATTAAGTATGTTTTCATTTAGAAGGTGTCCTAAAATTTTAGTAAGTTTGTGTTTTTTTTAATTTTCGTTTTCAATTGAGCTCCAGTTTTTAACTGTTAAAGGCTCAGATTTAATTTTAGTAGTTACAAAGTCTATATGAAAAGTTTTTCGTTTTCTTCGTATTAAAAGTTTAGTTTAGCGTAATCGGGCACCACAGTTTCAGTTTACTTTTAACTTTAGATACTCTCTCTATATATATACATATAAGATTGGTGCGCCGATTGCATGAAAGGGAGCTGCACACTACATTTCTAGCGTTCCATATACAAATTTCATGTTCTCTTTTTGATTATCGAGTTACAAACATAACGTACATACGTATGCACTATATGTAAAGAAAATCTCTCTGATTCATTTGCATCCTTTTTTTTAAAAAAGATTCCTTTAATCTGCCCGTGTGTACAGATGCCATATAAAAACATCTTTTAAATAGTATCGAGAAAGGTGAAATGGATATTTTCACTGAAGTATGATATCCAAAATTTTTTGCAATTACAGTATTCCCTTTGTTTCATACAAGTAAAAACTATATTTTTTAGAAAAGCTTTGTGAAAAACTCGCCAAATCAACTGGGTGTTCATTTAAATTAGAAGTTATAGAATTTTAATGAAATTCAGCTATCTTTATCATAAATCTTTTCACATTGTAAACTTTATGGTGTTATACCTTTATGTAAAAAAGTTGGAATTTGGAAGCTATATTAAACATAGAAGGTATATAGGAAATTATATTTCTTCTCCCCCCTTTTTTTAGATACACTGGACAATTAATAATATTGAATAATTTTAAAAACAAAATATTAACAAGATTAAGTACAATATTCTTTTTTTCTGAACTTCATAAATTAAAACTTTTCATTTCAGATGATCCAAATATTTCAGAAGTTTTATTTTTTTATATTTTTCACATATAAATGAAGCTGTGAATTCATTTATATAATTGTCTGTTTTCATTATTTTTAGATTGCTCAAGCAACTGCTGTTGCTGATGAAGCTATAGGAAATATAAAAACAGTTCGTTCATTTGCAATGGAAGATTCAGAAAAAGAGTAAGTCAATGGCAAAAATGTTGATTTTATGAAGAATTTTTTTTTAAATCTGCCTAAATTTAATAACTATAATAATAATAATTTTGTAGATTATATTATGATCAAATAGATGAAGTGAGAAAATTGAATAGCAGGTTAGGCATCGGAATAGGAGTATTTCAAGGTCTATCAAATTTAGCTCTAAATGGTAAGTGTTGTAAATTTAAAAACTAATTGTATTTTTAAGTTTTAATATAAACTTTATGTTATTAACTTTGTAATATTTTTAAAATATATATAGTGTTTAAATATATTCCCTTATAGATCATAATTTTTCACTTAAATATTTTTAAATGTCTTTATGTTTTCAAAATCATCGTTTTCCTTCATAATTTTGCAATGACTTTAAGATACCTTTTCTGTAATCTGTTATGTCTTCTTTTCCATTAAATACATTTATGAGATAAACATCCGTCTTTATGAAGTATTTGATACTAAAATTTCAAAAAGAAGGAAATGTTCTTTTAGAAATTTGAAAGGATAATACTGTCAGCCCTGATTAAATGTGAGTAGTAACTGAGTTTGCAGATATAACTTCATCTAAAAAAAAATTGTACAGTCAAAAATCTTTATCCGGATTCATCGGGACTTCGCGTTCCGGATTATGGATTTTTGTTTAATCATCAGTTTAAATCTGTAAGATGGCTTGGCAGTTATTATAAAATAAAAATATTGTGGTGTGTGTATGCAAGCCCGGGGCGTCTGCCTAAAGGAGGATGCCTTCGTGGAGGCCTTTCTAGGGAACTGGCTCGTATACACGTTACACATGGGGAAAAACCACGAAAACGCCCATGCAGCCAGCCCATTTGCGGGATTCGAACCTCGGACCGAACTACCAGTGTTCAGCGACTCTACCGCTCGGCCGATGGTGGGCCAATTAAAAATATGAAACCGTAATTTATGAAATAAAGAACAATTATGATCTATAGAGTATCAAAATTACAAAAAAAAAAAAAAAGGCTTAATATTTATTTCTTTACTTTATTAAACATTTCTTTCAATGTAAGTTGTTTAAGTTGCTTCTTTTTATCTGATAATACTTTCTCTTTAATTCTATAAACAGACATAATTTCTTGTTCAGTTACAAAGTTCTGCTGTTCAAGTCCTATAATTGCTGTGTCAAGAATACCAACTAATTTGTCAATCAAAATTTTTTTGTTTTCAATAACCTCTGTGTCACTTTCTTTACTATCGAAAGCGAATTATAATTACGAGGAATTTGATTTAAATCATATGAAAGACGGAGTACATCGAGATAAAATACTACATTTAGTAAGGAATTATAAGCCAAATAAAATAAAAACATCTGCTCTGAAGATAAGGATAGTGCTGACAGATCAACTTTCAATTCATTGCGCTCCGTGGCGTCCCCCCCCCTGCAGAGCAGCGTGAAATTGATAAACAGATTTCGGAATGGTTAGAGAAACAAAGGATATGCCTTTATCCATTTTTTTTGCAGCAATTCCACTTTTTGTTTGATGGACATCGAAACATACTTTCGCTTTGTAGATTCTTTGCCAGCTCCAGCATCGGAAATTCTATTTGACATAATCGAAAGTTCAAGCTTACTTTTATAAAATTGCTCTAACAGCCTGCAAAAAATAATAAGCTGGATCCAATTCAAAGATTAAGGAACAACGCAAACTGCAACATTAACTGAACTGAATAGATAATTAGATAATTTTAGCTTAACTTATACGGTCCGTTATACATTAAAAATATAACGCATGCGTAAAAGTATTACGTGCATGCGTTAACGCATTATGCGTTGATGCATGCACAGAAAGTTTGTAGCTTTGAGGTCCGGATTATAGATCATTATGGATTATGGGTGTCCGGATTAACGCCTTTTGACTGTATTTCTTTCTTGTGGAATACTTATTGTGGATTTATTACCGATTATGGCAAAGCAAGGAAGGGATGCCTTTTTAGAAGTCTCTCTAAGGAAAACTGGTTTCTATTAACATTGCTAAATTGAAATGTTACATATGAAGAAAACCATGAAGCCTCCCTTGCAGCCAGCCTGTTCGCTGGGATTTCAACTTGGTCTTAGTACCAATTTTTAGCAATTTTACCACTTGTACTGCTGCAGAATGATAAAAAAATTAGCTTAAAAAAAAAGCTTAAACCATTAGCTTAAAATGAAATTGTGTATAGAAAGTGAGTTAAAAAAGGGGGCGAAACACATAGGATATCAACAGTGATAGCTGATAGATAATGTTTGCTCAATTAGCTCTATTCCTCTCCCAGTAGAAGTTCTAATTGACATTAAAAAAAATGAAATACAATGTTCAAATCTTTATAAATACTTTTTTATGCTCTTTATATTTTAATATCTTCATTCAAATCTCTTGGAAATATTGTTCTTTAATGCTAATTATGACTCAGTTTCTTTATGTCCAAAGATGGTTCTTCCGTTATTTACAGTAGGTTCTTTTTGTCTGGACTATTTATTTAATTTAACTAAACGATCTTATTCTCTTGATTAAACTGCTTAAAAACACACACTGAAGAGCCAAAACATTATGACCATCTACTCAATAACATATTGTGCAAACTTTGGCCTCCAAAACAGCTGCAACTTGGCTTGGCATAGATGCCACAAATTCTTGGTAGATGACTGGAAACAGGTTGTCCTAAATATCTGAGCAGTGGTCAGGCAAAGTTGAGATATTCCGACATGGTGATGTTTGAGCCCTGAGCTGCTACTCTATGACATCCCAAATGTGCTTTATTGGGTTAAAATCTGGCAGATTAGGTGTCCAGAACATTAGGAATACCTCCTTATGCTCCTGAAACCACTCCAACACAATTCAAGCCTTGGGACATGGGGCTTGTCCTGCTGTAAGATTCCATTTCCTGTTGGGAAGACAGGTGGTATGTAATAGTGCGACTGATCCGCAATTATATTCAGATAGGCTGCAGCTTTTATGGTCTGTTCTGCCGCAACTAAGGGTCCCACTGTTGCTGCACATGAGAATGTCCCCCAAAGCATAATACTGCCACCAGCAACCTGTGTATGACCTGCTGAACAAGGGGGGGGATCAATTGTTTGCCTGGAAGACGGCATATCCTGACATGACCATCGATGTGATGAATGAGAAATCATGATTCATCCGACCATGCGACTGTCTTCCACTTATCCATGGTCCAGTGTTGATGTTCGTATGTGTAGTTCACAATGATGTTTGGTCAACAGAGGCATATGAGTGGGACATTTGCTGCACAGTATGATATCTAACAGTCTCTGCTGAACTGTATATTTCAAAACACTTGCATTTGATCCTGCATTGTATTGGGCTGTTAGGTGAGCCACTGTCTGGTGCCAGGTTTGATGTACCAAGCGGGGCAGTCTCCCATCATATTTTTATGATACTTTTACTTTGATGATGTTTGGATGTCCAACACCTTGATGTCTACTTCTGGTTTCACCTTCATTTATCCACTTTGCATAAATACTAACAATGGCAGATTGTGAACAACCTACCAGTTGTGCACTTTTGGAGATACTCGTTCCAAGTCTTTGGGCCATTATAATCTACCCTTTATCAAATTCACTCAGATTAGTAGCCTTTCCTATCACTTGCAACAGAAGTGCAAGAATGATTCCTTATCTTCTCCAGCAGCAGTTAAGTACCATTCCCATTTAATCACATGCCCTCCATCTTATCCAGATGAATTCATTGAAAAATATGGTGATGGTTAGAATGTTTTGGCTCATTAGTGTAGATAAATTTTTTTTTAATTAAAAAAAATATATGAATATGGGTTTCTCACCTTTTGCTTCTTAACTGCCTCGTATTAACTGTGATTTTTAATTAAGCGTGAATGTCATACCCTACATTATCCCAGTTATTTGAGAGTTGACTGTAGTTAAGGTGACCAGATGTCCCAATTTAGGTGAAACAGTTTGGATTCTCGCTTGTCCCGGCAGGACGCCTGTTTGTCCTGCTTTTCTGCAAAAGAGACTCTTAACGTCAATTAACTCAAATTTGGTGCCATGCCGCATTGGTGACGCCTCCCTGATGCTTGCTTCCGATAAAGCTATGATGTCATCACTCAGAAACGCAATTGGCATCAACATTGGTGGCTAAGGCAAAGAAACAGCATGTGCGAAATATCTGTCGCCAAAGCTCCAAGCCAGCGTCGAAGTTTGAAGGTCACGTTTATCAAGAGTCCATAAAATGAATATCGTTTTAAATTTCTTTAAACTTTAAAGGAAAAGAAAATATTTTTTGTGCAAGTAAATTAATTACTGGATTAGTTATTTTGAGTAAAAAAAAAATTGTGAAAATCCATGCTTAAATTATCACGAAAAGTCAAAAAAATGTTTTGTCAAAGAACGCTTCTTCTAACACCGTGTTCCTCAAATTCCTGTACACATCGTAGAGGGGGAAATTCTCGCTGCCAGGTTCCGTCGCCAAATCCCTTGCGAAATTTTGCTTTTCAGTGACGTAATAGCAAACTGATTTACATTACGTTCCATGAAACCTTTCCTTCTTAACATAGATGTTCTTTGGCTAAGGTGGTTTGTGCGTACGATTGTCGTGTTTCGGTGGTTATTTATTTTTTTCTCATGTGAGTGACATTGTCGGGAGGAAACTGCTAAGTATTGGTTGTGCTGCTCATATCATCCACAACGCAATCCAAACAGTAGGGGATTGCTTGCAAATTGATGTGGAAGCAGTTATTATGAAAATTTATTATTATTTCTATATCTACACTGTTCGTGTTGAGTCATTCAAAGAATTCTGTGACTTTGTGCCTGTGTAAAGTACCAGCGCATTTTAGGATATGGGAAAACTAGATGGTTATCACTGATGCATGCAATAGAAAGAGTTTTAAAATTGTTTCCTGCATTGAAATCCTATATCTTGTTGGAAGGGAAGTGCCCCACCCTAATCCGCAACTTTTTTTAGAATCCCTGTGCTGAATTGTTGCTATACTTCGTACATAATATCACTGCGGTGTTTCAAGCGGCAATTCTGCACATAGCACAGACTGTAACAGCATTGGAAGTATCTTCTGAACTGGAGGATTTAATACATGAATGGACTGAGAGAAGCGCAAAAAACGTTTTGCTAAATGAAGTACGTATGCTGATTACCCAATTAGAAAAGGAAGGATTGGCGAGAAAAAATGACATTATAAGAACCATTGTAAATTTTTATGACAACTGTGCTGGATACTTGAAAGAGATGGTTGAGCAGTTCAAAGATATAAATGTATTTAGTTGAGTTACGTTAAAGGAGCCATGGGGAAAAAGTGGAAAAAGTACAAGAGAAAAAAACAGTACAAGGGAAAAAGTACAAGAGAGCGTGCAACTTTTTGGGTAGAAGATTCCAAAGGTTGACATCAATGATAACGAGTTATTTCACGAAATAAGCTACATTAGGCAATTTACTTCACGACAAAAGATTGCAGATTGGAATTGTCAGAAAACTAGTCTCGACTGTCGATGGGCTGAAATTTTTCGTCATTTCAAGGATAAAAACGTGCCATGCGCACAAATCCAGAAAACTGTGGAATTTTTGTTTTGTCTTCCAGGAACAAACGCCGTCAGTGAAAGAGTTTTCTCATCTATGAATATCATGGACAATTGAAAAGACACAGTTAAAACTGGAAATACTACAAGCATTGTTCATGGGGAAGTGCAATTTTGAGTTTGACAGTTCCTGTAGTTCCTGTGATAAAGTCTATGAAAGACTTCTTAGATTCAAAACTTCTTAGATGATTCATTCGTCAATGAAATATGTGTACGGAGCACCTACATAGGATGATCCTTCTAGGTCAGCGGCTGATCAGGAAGGCCCATCGTCCGTGTTGAATTAATACATTTGCGGCGTTATGTGCTGGATGGACACATTCAAGCAGTTAGGTAGGTAGGAAGTTACAAACTTTTATTTTGACTGCTTTTTTTTATTCTTTGTTCGCTCTTACTCTTACTGAAAGTGCGTCTGAGTTGTCTCAGTCCAGATCCCAAAGTCCGTGATTGTTGATTTAATAATTTATTCAATCTGAGATATGGATAAATTTTTCTTTCAATAATAAAGTCTGTTTAACACACACGCTAATTCGCAAATGATGAGTAATTCTTTATAGGACAATGTGACTTAACTTTCACTAAAAATTTTGTACTCCGTATTTTCACCTTCAGAGGGGTTCTTCCGTTCTCTCCCACCCTTCTCCCACCACCCAAATTTGGATCCCTGCATCCCGCTTTGCCCTCTGGAAAATCTGGTCACCTTACTATAGTTCTTTATTTTACTTGAACAAATAGGTAAGGTAAATTAAATTTGAAACTTTGTTGGTTATCTTGGTTCATAAAAAGGACATAGGCATAAAGATAATGTTAAATTTAGGCTTAATATCTGGTAGAAATTGTTACAGCCTGATTGGATAAATGCACTGAATATTTATAATTTTACCTAGGATTCAATTCCTGATGAAATTAAATGGAAGCTTAAGTGTTTTAATTATTTTGTGTGTCAGAAAGGCATCTGTTCAAAGCAACTAGTATGTACTATGTAGTTTGACTAATCTTTTTTCTATGTAGCTGATTGGAAGTTCTTGTTCTTCTTTTGCATTACATAGATTACATTCTTTTTTGGGGGGGTTCTGTATAAATTTTTTTAAAGTTAAAAGAATTTAATCCTTTTGTTATTTTCAAAATATACATTATTGTTTTTGTATGGAGTAAATAACAGCTATTAACATTGAAACAGCTTTTAACAGTTCCACCGAATGCTAATAATAATGCCATTTGTTTTTCTGCCTTCTCTGAAGGCATCGTTTTAGGGGTTTTATGTGTTGGAGGATCTTTAATGTGCAATGCTGAAATGACTCCTGGAAGCATGATGGCATTTTTAGTTGCAACACAAACTATACAGAAGTAATTATTTTTGTTTACATACTTGATATTGTTTTCATAAATTACTGGCAGTTTGAACATCATAGTGAAATTAAATTGAAAAAAATCTATTCAAAAATTCACATTTAATTCAATTGTGACAACAGGGATCTTGATCCAAACTGAAAACATGACTCAGCAGATTATGATTATTCACAATCTCAGTTAGAGCATTTTTAACTTGTAAATATTCATTTATTAAAATATATTTGTGACTGGGTAATGTGTTAAGCATTATGAAAATATAAATGTGCTTGTATAAAATTCTCAATAAATATAAAGATATTGCAATGATAGCAGCAAACATAATTCATTCAAAACTTAACTAGGTATTTAGGGAGTAAATTACATTCACAAAATTAAGAATGGTATCAGGTCATTTTTTTGTGCTTCAATATCAAGTTATGGTGCTGCTCAGTAACAGCTTTGCTTCAAATACATAACAAATGATCTTCCAGCTTTTTACTAGCTTTTCTTACCTATATTTTTTCTGCTAATAACCAGGTTTTGTCTACATTAGTTGATTTTCATGTATTCGAAAATCAATCTGCTTTAACTTAACACATATTGAAAGTGAAAAGAATGAACAGATTTAACTGAAGTCTTACTAGTCAGTTCAGATAATGCTAACATCCTTCCTTGATTATGTTGATAAAAGTTCTGTTAAACATTAAATGTAGAATTATGTGTGTCACAAGTGTTACACATATTTATGTTTTGCTGTTTTCTTTAAGAATTTGTTCAATAGACCACATATAATTAAATTATGCATCTTTGTCATTATAATTTTCTGTTTTAATCCATTTCTTGTAAATTACTGATTTTATGATTCTTAAACATCCTTACATGTTTTTGTTGATAAAAGTTCTGTGCAAGTTTAAATATGGAGTTATATGTGTCACAAGTGTTAAATATATTTATATGTTGCAGTTTTTTTTTAAGGATTTGTTTAATAGACCACATATAATTAAATTACATATCTTTGTCATTATAATTTTCTGTTTTAATCCATTTCTTGTAAATTACTGATTATATGATTCTTAAACATAAAATACTTCCTTAGAAAATCAAGTCTGTTGCAATATCTAATTCAATAACCATAAGAAAAGTAATTCTCAAGTGAAATCATGCTAGAAAACTTAATAGTAATATTAAAATAGCATGCAAAACATATAGTTCACAAAAAACATAGGTATGTAAATTGAAAAATGCAGTTTTAAATTAATAGTATTATGTATATATAGAGATCTATGCTATATATATGTACAAAGATATGTACATATATAGATATATATATATATATGTATATCTATGCAGTACGAAGTCGGAGTTCCGTACTTCATCGGGACTTCGGCGACTCTAGATTTGGAATTTTTCCAGATATTAGATCAATTTAAATCTAGTAAGATGGCATGCAGAAATTATAAAATTAAAAATATGATATTGTAATTAATGAAATAAAAGGCATTTATGATCTAAGTATGAAAATTTACCAAAAATAAAAAGCTTGATATTTAAGCATGTCTTTAAATGTAAAATTGCTTGTTTAAATTGCTTCATTTTTTGTGCTAATACTTTCTCTTTAATTCTAAAAACAGACATAATTTCTTATTCAGTTACAAGATTCCACTGTTCATGTCCTGTAATTGCTGTATCGAGAATTCCGACTAAATTGTCAAATGAAATTTTTAATTTTCAATAACCTCTCTGTCACTGTATTCACTATCAGTAGCAGTATTTTCTGGATATAGAACCATAATTACAGATTTTGCCATCTGTTAACTGTTTGATGTTGGGTCACATGAAATTTTTAATTGCTGTATACCATGGTGATTTTTAATTTTGGTTAACCAATGTGTCAATTATGTGCACTCAGTTTTTAAGTTAATTTCTTCATGGAATATTTTGGCTTGAGCCATTAGCATCAGACCCATCAATGACATGCATTCGCTGCAACGCTGTCTGACCCATTCAATCATCACTCTGTCATGATCGTCACTTAGCATAACGAACAATTTTTCTGTTATTCATTTGGAGTGGGATGTTAGAATCCACAAAAAATTCAAAAAGTTCCTTTTTTTTTCTTATGTCATATGCAGTTGACTTTCTAATGCCATACTCCTCACATAATTTTGAGACAGATATGCCTTTATCGATTGTTTGCAGCAATTCCACTTTTTATGTAATGGACTTCAAAACATGCTTTCACTTTGCAGATCCTTTGGCAGCTCAGAAACTCTTATTATTAACTCTTTCAATTAAAAACTCTTTTCAATATAATTGAAAGCTCAAGCTTTAATTTTATTAAATTGCTGTAATAATAACAATAATAAGCTGGATCAAAATCAACGGTTAAACTTCACGGTTGTGGTGCTGTGCGCTACAATATAACAAGCAGTAAAGTGCCTCATTTATGCCGCTCTGCGTCTGCGAGTGCAATTCAAAGCTGTAACTCAAGAAATAAACAATCTTGTTGTTAGGCGACGTGTGCACCACGTTATTTTCATTTTTGCCCGTGGTTTAAGACAAAAGCATTTTGACGTGCGTGGCATGTCTTTTTAGTGCAAATGGTTTAGGAGCAGTACAGTCTGCTACATTAATTGAAATTCCCTAGAATCAGTAAAGGTAATTTTAGCCTAGATTAATAGCGTCCGCTATACATTATTGGCTATGTATCATAAGATTGGTGACGAAAGACAAGTTGTTCCGGTAAATTTTGTCTTGCTTCTATCGCTTACTGAATTAAGCTCGAATTCTATTAGTTATTTATTATGCCTATGTTTATTTCTTGCACATGCTTAAGTCTAATCTGAGTTTTGAATAAATGAACTCCCACATATATCTAGGACTGGCACTAGATACCGCCTGATACAGTCTCTGCGGGTCCTATATTCTGTTACAAAGCACCTTCTTAAGTTCTAAATTTTCACCACCCTAAACTTTGGATCTAGTGCTTTCCCTAAATTGTAAAAAATGTGTCATCCCTTAATTTTGCTGCTCGGTGCTTCTCCAAATTCCAAAAATTTTGTCTTCCCTAAATTCTGCCATCTGGAGCGGCCATATGAAGACGCCGGCTCTGGGTTTATGTCGATAACATATCAGTCATTCTTAATTCAAATAGCACTAAATGTAATCTTTTGGCCTATGAGTTTCATTAATAAAGTCTATTTTTAGCATATGAAAAGAAATTTTTGATAAATTTTTCCTCGTCATCATTTTATAGTGCATTTAACTTAAAATCTGTAATCATCGCCAGCATAATTTCAGTGTAAAAGGTTGCCATACTCATGATTCAATTACTAATATAAAAAAAAAAATCTGTAGACATCGCTGCATGAGTCATTACTGAAGCTGTTATGTATTGATAAACATGCGGTGATGAAAGCAAAATATAATAAATAATGATTCTTCAAATCAGCGTCAGGGATATAAAGTGTGTAAAATCAATGCTGATCAAAAATATGTGTAAAATCAATGCTGTTCCTATGTAGAATGTTTCGGTTTGAGGTGTATGCCAAGCAGACGCGCAGCTACAGAGCCAAACTATCAATCTCACAAATTTATGTTTACATGATTGTTTCTTCAATAATGAGGCAGATTATTTAGTGCCTAAGTGAAATTAAGAATCGGGACTCTCCATGTGTTTTATTATGAAAGGAAAAACCAAGTGCGCATGCGTAAAGCATTAAAAAAAAAAAAAATGAGAGAGTTAATGGCTTTGAGGTCTGGATTTTATATCATTCCGGATATTGGACGTCCAGATCTCGGACTTTGTACTGTATATATTCATATATGAAACCAGAATGCAGTTGAGCTGGGTATAGCAAACCCAAGGAATAAATAAAAACTTTCCTTATTTTTTATCATTACTTTTACCGTTCTTTACCATATTAGCATAATTTTAACAAAATATTAGGTATGAAATTATTATTTTTTATTTACAGTGAGTTATACTGTCATTATACCCATGTTCAGTATCACTTAACCCATAAGTCATTAAGTTGTAAAATGATGTGTAGAAAGTGGTACATTTTGAAGGAGGAAAAAAATTCCTTGGCTTCATTATTTCAGTGTGTGTCATAGTTTTTCATATTTTTTATCATGTCTATCTTCATCAAAAGAAATGGGTTTGTGGAGATTGCTCTGAAGTTATTGCTAATATGTAACAGATTTGCTTTTCTAGTTATTATGTCTTTGATGTTAGTTATTCGTAATGAAGAGCAATTTTTAATGAATTGAAAATACCAGAATTAGGATGTTGAGGATGAAAGGAAAAGTAATTTGCAGTTAATTAAGAAGAGCAAGAAACAAAATCAGAAATCGTAAACCTTTTGACACAAAACTAAAAAAAATGGTAGGTTATAGCAATTTTAACATATTAAGCATATAATAACTAAATGTTTTCACTTTATTTGATCACTATTAAATTTCCTTATCATTTTTGAAAAACATATGCACTTTTTTTGAAATTTTCAACTTCCTTTTTTCTTATCAAAGTAGTAAATATAAATATAGGGGGTCTTCATAATTAATGCACGACTATTTGCAATTAATAGTAGCAGGATACATGTTGAGAAAACTGTTTTCAAACTTGTATTTGGCTGTAATATTATTTGACTCTAAAGAAACCTTTCATATTAGTTTGTATTTCTGACATACATCTGTGTAAATATGTGACTATAAATAAATTTTCTTTTGTGATTGCCAGTCCACATTTTTTTCAAGATGAATTTTTATAGTAGGAAGAGTATAGATTTCAGTTTAATGACTTATGATTTCGTTCTAAATTCATTACATTTTTCTTAAATCATCTGTTTTGTTATATAACATAATTGCAGATCCTTAGCTCATCTTTCATTGCTGTTTGGACAGTTTATCAGAGGTTTGGCTGCAGGTGCTAGGATTTTCCAGGTAACTGAATTTAACAAGTGTTAACCATGCAACCTTCAGAATAATTTAATTATTTTTAATATAATTACTGAGTAATCATATTTAATATGTTATGTAGCATTAAATTAGAAAAATAAATCATGAATGAGTTTAAAGTTGATACTTTTAATTTTTGTTGAGGGTTATCTCAAAAATCGACCTTCTGCTTGTTTCAGAAGAAGAGTTCATTTCTGAGCTTACGGATCAAAATGTATTGGCGGATTAAGATGCAAAAGGAAAGCCAGTTGATTGACACTAAACACGTGATCTTGACCTTCAACTCGCCTGATCTGCTGAAGAATATATAAGGCTGGGTAACTTAACTCTCCCTTAAGACCTTATATTCCAAATCCTATACCATGTTTTCAAAGCCAGCAAATTTTGGCCATTCGAAGATTTCCTATCATGCCAACCTGACGTGTGCTCGTGATTTGAAGGTTGGTCACGATAGTGAAAACTGCACTGCTGCACCATTGTGCATAAACTGCAAGGGTATCCAGCATTTTCTTGCTCCTGCCCAAAGTAGAAATCTGAAAAAGAAATTCAGTCAACTAAAGTAAAGAGAAGCATATCTTATGCTGAAGTCAGAAGGATAGTTGATAATTGATAACCACAATTAAATAAATCTTTTGCTGCTGCTATAATGTCAGCTAGATCTATTGCTACTCAAATGTCTCTCAGTATACCTAGTATACTGATATATATATTTAGTATATATAAGTTCAACCATCAAACACTCAACAACCTGCAGAAAATAATAGAAGCACAAAAAAGGCCAACACATATACTACAAAAAAAGAAACTATAGTTCAAAACAAACAAAAAAAAAAAAAAAAAAAAAAAAATACTGTCCCAGAATTAACCAAGAATAAAAGTACAAGCAGTAGCTCAATAGATGGCATAATTTCAGAATCAATAGACTCAGATAATTTGGAAGTGGAAGATGAATTAGAAATTTCTAGACATCTTCTTCCATGGAAAACCAAACAGCAGCCCAGAGAGAATAAGCATCATACGTAATGACCACCTTAATCTCTTGGAATTGCTGTGGGTTCCACCAAAATCTTGGTACCATAAAACATATACTATATGTTTATCATCTTGTTTGTTTGAAAGTCCAAGAAACAATGCTGAAACAAGAGCAGTGAGCAAAGCTTCAGAGGTATTCCTTCGTATTAATAGATAATAACATTGGTGAGTGGATTTCTGGAGGGGTAGGCCTCCTCGCTTCACTTAATCTTCCATTGAAGGCCCTTTATTTAAGAACATGCCTCCAAGCTGTCGCTTTGCAAATAAGTTTTCATAATGTGATTTCAGTTTGTTGTGTGTATTTACCACCTAATGATCAAATCGATCAAACAGATTTGAATGATCTTATAGAACAGCTGCCTGAACTTTTCATCTTGCTAGGAGACTTTAATGGTCATACCTCTTTCTGGGGAAGTAAGGATCTGAACTCCCAAAAAAGATAGATTGAGAAAGTAATTGAAGATCCACTCATTATGCTCATTAAAGGATGGTCCAGATACTTTGATCAGTCTACAAGGATCTTTCATGTAATCGACCTTGCCATTTGTTCACCATCACTGTTGCCACTTTGTTCATTTAATGTTGGAAATGACCCCTTTGGCAGTGACCATTTTCTGATCTTTATCTCTTTTTGAGGAACTTCAAATCGTGCAATTGAAAAACACGTACATTTTAATTTTGATAGAGCAGCTTGGGATCTTCCAGCACTTGCAGAGATCAATGAGGAAATGGTGAACAATGTGCCTATCGATGAAGCAGTGAATGTCGTTGGAGACATTATCATGCAGGCATCTGCAATTTCTAGACCACAAAACTCAGGAAGTCGTAATAAATGCTGTAAACCTTGGTGGAATCATGAGTGCCAAAATGCTTTTAGAGAACAAAGAAAAGCCTGGGGACGTTTTGTGGGGGGATTGTCTGTTTCCATAAGTGCCTGCACTTTGTTAAACCTCATCACCTTCAAAAGAGCCAAAGCTAATGCAAGAAAAGTAAGATGCCAGAGCCAGAGGGATTCATGAATTTTCTATGTGTCTTCAATTAGTTACTCTGTGCCAAGTAAATAAGTATGGGTGATACAGTCAAATACCGAAAATCTGCCAACCTGAAATCCGCTAACTCCTGAAATTCGTGTTGCCTCTCAAAATATAAATATTCAGTTTATAGTGTAATATCTTGTTATTTAATAAATAAATATAATTATTGTTGAAGTGGCAACGCCATATTTGTATCAAACCGTTACTCAGCAACGAGAGATATTGTTAAAAAAAAGATTTAGTATTCTGAAGATTTTGCAGATAGAAGTAGTATTAAAATTTTGCCACTTAAGAATTTTATAAAATTTGTCTTTCACCGAGAACTAGAAATAAAATTTATGTTCTACTAAGAAGATTGTCTGTTTTGTAAATTACTGCAAAATACATTACAGTCTTTAATTAATTGGAGGTTCCACCGAGATCCTGGAAATTAGGAGTGCAATTATCAATTTTGATGGTGCTGGTCTCCTAATCCCAGAAATTTGCTGAATTTTTTTAGAACAAGTTTGCTAATACCAATTGCCGAGTTTGTTTATTTCAAGGAGAAATGGATGTAAGAAGTCTGCCGTTTTAAAGCCAGATTTGAAGCGGATCATTCAAAGGTTATCTTCTGTGCTTCTATAAATTGCATCCGAGCAAAAATCTGTCAATACAGGATACTGCTGATCTCTGAAGATAAGAATAACTTTGGGTTTTCTTAAAAAATCTTTTATTGAATTTTAATAGATTGTTTCAGAATTATAGTTTATCGTGTAAGATTTTGTTTAAAATAACTGACACTAAAAATATTCAGCTTAAATTTATAATTGATATTTGTGGTAAAGAAGTATTTTAAAATTATTGTTTATGCTTAACTTTTATTTGTATTGAATTTTTATGGATTATTGATATGTGTAAGCCATCCCGGCGTTTATAAAAAAAAAAAAAAGAACTGCTAGCTGAATTTTGAATTTGTTGCCAAGCAGGTGTGTGGAAAATAAGTAGCAACGTCAAACTAACGTAGTGTGATTTGATTATACTGCAGAATTTTTCAAAAGGTTTTTTCTTAGTTCTCGCCATCCAGGCGTGTGGTAGATAGCAACGTCATCCCGACGTATTACAGATTGTATATTCTAAAGGTTGTATTGCCAAACTGGCAAAAATTGTTTTTGTTATCGCCAACCAGGCATGGAGATAGATAGTAAAATCGTCAAACTGACGTTGGTAAAATTCCATTGTATTGCCTTACTGGCAAAGGTGTTTATACAGTTATAGCTAACGAGGCTTGTGAATAGTGAGTTAAAACATCAACCCGACGTAGTATTAAATTATTTTGTGCCAACCTGGCAAAGTTGTTTAAATAATTCTCTCCAATTGGTTAGTGTGAATTTCATATTCGAGAAATTAAATCTCGCCAGAAATTATATATTTTTAATACAAGTACGAGCTTTTAGATTGAATTTCAAAAGGAAGCCTATTAAAAGTAACTTGTGTCAACATGTCATTCTTAGCTAGGAGTAAAAAACAGGATTTAAAAGTACTAGCAGAAGAGTTAGGTTTAACCGTGAAACCTGAATTTAAGATTGCTCAATTGCATAAACTGATTACTGAAAGTCCCGATTATGATGAGGAGTTTACTCGAGAACTACTGGCTGCAATTAGAGAAGAAAGGGAACGAAAAGAAGAATGTGAAAGAAAAGAAAGAGAAAGAGAAAAGGAACGTGAAAGAGAAGAAAGAGAAAAAGAACGCGAAAGAAGAAAGAGAAAAAGAACGTGAAAGAGAAGAAAGAGAAAGAAGAGAAGAACGCGAAAGGGAAGAAAGAGAAAAAGAACGCGAAAGAGAAGAAAGAGAAAAAGAACGCGAAAGAGAAGAAAGAGAAAAGGAACGCGAAAGAGAAGAAAGGGAAAGAAAAGAAGAGCGTGAAAGAGAAGAGCGAATTAGAGCCTTTGAGCTACAGAAACTTCAGCTGGAAGCAATGGCTGCCACAGCACAGCCGGCAGAAACTACGCAGTTACCTGAGCAGCCTTTAAAAATCAGAATTCACGATGTCATGCCACGTTTCAACCCTAAAGAAGATGAAATAAGTTTATTCCTGGTGTTATTTGAGCGTCAAGCTAAAATAATGAATATACCTGCTGAAAATCAAGTGACTCAACTTATTTCATTGCTGCCTCCTGACATTGTTCAGCTTATTGCTAGAGAACCAGAAGAGAACGCGAAAAAGTATGAATATGTAAAAACTTTACTGTTACAACGATTTAAATTGAGTGCGGAAAAATTTCGACAACTATTTAATAAACACCAAAAATCTACTGAAAGTACTTGGTATGATTTCTACTATGAATTAAAGAATTATTTAGAAGGATGGCTTAACGGATTAAACATTAAAACTTTTGAACAGCTAAAAGATCTCATGCTGGTTGATCAAATAAAAAAGCGTACTTCTCTTGATTTCAAAGAACATTTTATGGATCAATGGACAACCATCATTTCACCTACTGAAATAGTTAAGAAAATTGAAGATTTTTGAAGATGTGAGGAAAACAAAATAAAACCGAAATTTTCTGTCAATCAGACTGAGAAAATTAACAAAGGATAATTTTAAACCGCGTTATGATAATTTTGTGAAAAAAATAGAGCATCCGCCTCATTTTAAGCATTCTGATAAATGGGATGATTCAAAATACCAGAAAGATCACCGACAAAGGAAGTCAATTTCAAAACAAAGAACCAAGAAAATTTATATGACAAAAGGATATCGACCACGTTGTTTCGAGTGTGGATCATACGAACATTTTAAGCCTCAGTGTCCTCGCTTAAAACCAAATGAAAAGATAAAATTGCGTATCTTCGAATGATGATTTGTTAGAGACATATACAATTAACGGTTTAGTTGAATGGGTATGAAATGCCTATTCTTCGAGAGACACAGGAGCCAC